ATATACACTTTTTCCCTGTGTATGTACTATCTCGCTCTATAATCTTAATTAAAATTATGAAGTGAGACTATATATATATAAGTTAAAATAAAATTATATATATATATATATATATATATATATATAATATATACACAGAAAAAAATATAGCTTTCTTTTTTGTAGGATTAATAACATAAATTAATGACAAAAAATTTGAAAAAATTGCGGTCAGACTGTTATAAGGTCTCCAAGATAGGACAAGATGGTATAATTTCAAACAATTCTGAACAAAATAAGATTTGAATCTAATTTTGAGGTTCAAGTTTGACAATCCTGTTTTCAGTCTGTAAATAGGGTACTGAAGAGTGTCATCAAACAGGAAAAAATTAAACTTAAACCTTAAAAATTGTATTCAAATCTTATTTTGTTCAGAAGTATATCATGTTCAAAATTATATCATCTTATCCTATTGTCCAAAATAAAATGTTACATGATTATATTTAACCTTAGAATAACACGAAAAATAATTCACGATTATAAAGTAAAATGTCCCCGAACAATAGGAGTATGGCAATAACAACAACCTCAATTTATGTTTACGTTATATTCCAATGCATAATTTCCATCTATTTACAGTGGATTTTGCTGTATGTAATTATTACTACATATAGTACCGCAATGCGTAGCCAACAGGCTGTTTTAATAGTGACCGCTCAATTTGCATACAGAGAGAAACGTTCGTCGGATACCTATTCAATTTATTTTAACACGGCCATCGACTATATTAGAAGCAATCATAAAGCATGATGAGCGTTTGTGATTTCTCATCTAATTTAGTGACTTAATTATTTTTGACAGTCCCAAAAGCTTCTTCTTCGATCACTTTCTAATATTTCGTTCACTGTATTTTGCTCTTGCTACGTTGTTTGTATCGTGCTCAACATTCCAAAATTAATGACGGAAATTTGAATAACAAAGCTCTCTTCATTAGGAGAAAAACATTTTTTTATCTTTCTACGCAATTTCTGCTGCTTGCAAGATCGTAAAGCGCGCGTAACAAATATGTCGAGCATCATGCAAGTCATCGTAAAACGAGCGCGTTTTTTTCTCTGACACAAAAAAGTTAACGAACATGTTCAAATGTGTCTCCGCGTATGCAAATACTTTATCATTGATCTTAAAATCGTTAAGATCCACTTAAGAATATTTGATCTTTTTAGCGCATATCATATAAATAAGATTTCAAGATTCATTGACAAATACGAACCCGTTGTTAAAGAAACAATGTAAACAAAATTTTTTCACAATTGCAAATCACTTTTTTGTAATTGCCGAAGATACTTAAATATTTTGCATATTTCCACAGAAAGTATATATATTGGAAGTTGAGTTGTTTATTCACATCGTGAATATGTCTTAAAGTATAAACGAATTATGTAAACAATTTACATATGCTAAAGCACTATTTGCATTTTTCAAAAATTACGCATTCTTTCTTTCTTTTTTTCGCTACAGCCCGTATTGCATAAATACGAGAATAAATTCGTTTATGCAAAATAAAGAATGGTCGTACCATTTAGACTTTTGATATACGTCGGTCAATATTGATTTTTTAGGAAATTTGTACGATACCTGCGGTTAGCATGTACATGCATAATTTTTTTGCGTATGCAGTGAATGCAAAAAATATTTGTACAGAGTAGATATTTAAAAAAAAAAATCTTATTTTAAAAAATAAACATTAGCAACTCATTAACAAAGAATAAAGTAAACTCTATATTTTTCAAAATTATTTTACCTAAAAAGATATGTAATAATTAAATTTAATTAAATATTTAATTAAATAATTAAAAAGGCATGTAGTAATTAAAGTACATTTTCTTATAAAAATAAATAAAAATGAAAAATTGTATTATTAATACTTACGTATAAAAAGAATTCATACAGTCGAGAAATTTTTATAAAATTATAAACACTTTTTTATTTATATTAGAACAGAATATACATTGTATAAAGTTTATAATTAGTGTTTATTTTCTACGAATAAGGATTCTTTAATAAAAAAATTTCCCCTGTACGAATATTTTTGCACTCACTGTATATACTGTTTTTTTTTTTGCGTGGAACTGTCCTACATCGGATTACGTAATAAAAAAACTCTTAAGAAAACAATCGTCTGGTTACAAAAGCACTTCCAATTCCGTAATTGCGAATGTGTAACTAGAGTGCTTTCCAGCATGACACAGTCAGACACAGTGTAACACAGTGAATCATTACATCCTTGTTGTTTGTTTACGTTAAACAAGGATGAAACGATTCACTGTGTTACACAGTGTCCGACTGTGCCCTTGCTGAAAAGCACCCTAAATAGCTTTATATTCGCTTCTCTCACGTGATTTTACAATATGAAAAAAGCGAATAATATTTTTGGATTTCTGCAAGTATTTATCTACATAAAGGTCTGTTTTTTTTATTCCTACATTAGTATGTATTAAAACTTTCTTTCTCGTTTTTTCGCCAAATTTCAAACATATACCTATTTCACTTTAAGTTCCAAAGTATTACTAGTTCAGCTACAGAAAACAGATCTCTAGAGTACATTTACTGCTGAGAATGCGAGTTTTAAAGAAAATATGCCATCCCATATAGTATACTTTATCTAAGGGACGTCTTAGAACATTTTTAGGAAAGTTCTCTAAATGTCTTGAGAACGTATCTTGAAATTATGTGCTGTATGGGATGAAAAAATTAGAGCGATGAAGTTCCACGTACACAATTATTCGTGCCGCGTGTAAACAATTCTGTTACGGCGCGCCGGGATCGCGTGAAACAACGTAGAAGACTAACGAACACAATAATTAAGCGCATTCAGTCTGTCTAGCTTATATCGTCTAGATATATCGGTTAGATCACGGGTTAGGTCATAGGAGCACACACGACACAATATAGCCAATTATACTGTCAATTTTTCTACGAATAGAGGAATTTCATTCGCGAGTAAATTTGTCACTTTTTTTCAAATACAATCAAACAAAATCTGGGACGATCTAACAGATTTTCTAAAGGATTATCGGATGATATTGCTTGCGTAGCGCTCAAAAGTTAATTTCATCGCTTAGATGAGCCATTCAACTATTTTCATTGAATCTGAGAAGTTTAAATTGGACGCCCTCCAGATACACAGGATTGAAACACGTGACTATGATGGATCGCTCTCGCGTAACTCTGGCAATATTCCGAACAATTTGTGTCTTATAATTAAATGGGTACGTTGCATTAATTCGATTGCGAATATATTGCGAGGCATAAATTTCTATATATCGTTGTAGAAGATGTAACGAAGTTAAAGCTTCACACAGAGGTGGAACAGCTTACTTTCGTAAGCGCAATGTCAATCCTGCCTTTCGGCACGTCTCGAAAACAGCGTAGGTCGTTTCCCGCACGATCGTAAACGAAGTTGGTAATTGAAGTTGGTACAGACGATCGCATGTACACAGGCGTGTCCACGAAGTGTCGTTAACGGTGATTAAGTCGTGACGCCGGAAATAATCGTTGCGTTTATCGGAAAATCTAATTTCAGGCCCGTCAGACGCAATATCCATGGACGCGGAGTTTAGCGATAATTTCACCTTTTCGCTCGCAACAATTGAAGAACTAAAATAATTAAATCGTCCATTCACCATTTATTCGGTAATGCAAATTTTCAATCGCAAAGAATTATCAACGAGTCATTAACTGTTGCAAGACAAAACGCGGTTTTAAAGCATCTAAAAATATAACTAAATACAGATTTAAAAATGATTTTGTTGGATTATTTAAATAATTATATAGAACGCCCAAGGTGGTTACTAGAATGTCAACATTTTTTTCAGTATTCCTCATATCATATTTGTCTTTCCTACATAATTATTTTTATGCAGGTCTAACAAAAGCAATTTTAAATTTGCATCTAAATTTTTAGATATTTCAGCAAAATTATTTCTTCTTGTATTTAATAACAATTAATAACCTTCACACACACACACACACACACACATCACACACACACACACACACACACACACACACACACACACACACACACACACACACACACACACACACACACACACACACACACACACACATTAGAAATGTAAAATAAAATATCTCTCTCAGAATATCCCCCAGTTCTATTTACGTTAATTCATTAAGATATAATTTCGCGATATGTAAAGATCTAATTGTTTAAATGTAAATCTCCTATTTACAGGTAACCGTGCAGATTTTTTCTTTCTTTCCCTTTTTTATCATCGTATAAAATATAAATTATAATACAAGTTCCTTCGGAAGACGGTAGGCGTTTATGCGTCACGGCAGATGCAAGTGAAAAGCGTCCTACACTATCAATCCGTGCGTTAATACCACTTTAGATAAAAATATTTGCATAGCCCTGCAGTTCCACTCGTGTGCACTCACGTTGCACTTATTCTATCGTAAAATGAGACCCGCATGCAAAATCCTGTCGTCGTAATACATCTGACAGAATAATGGGAGATGTATGTACAGCGTAATAATGGCGAGGAAACATAATGCACAAATTCTAATCTACGATTAGTAGCTATGTCGCATTCTACATCAAAAGATGATAACATTAACAAATTATAAAAAAAATGCTTTCTTCCATTTTTTATGCAATGGTACTTCCAGGAATTATTATTTAACGTGTTTTCGTAATACTTTCGCAAATTATTATTTAATGTGATACTTTCATGAACTATTATTGCAACACCGCGCGAGAAGCATCCGCAATTTTATTCTCTCAAATCGTACTATTACACTCCGATGAACAAACAATTCGTGTTAAAGTTTTTTTCTTTTACAAAATAAATGGATGGGGTTTTATATGACGGACATGGAACAATAAATTGAACGTTAATCGACAATCGAGACACAATCATCCAATCATACTGCAGCTTGTAACGACATCGCGAACGACTTAACTTACGATACTTAAATTACGTGATGATGCAACTTACCTGTACTGATCGGTAAATATCCTGAAAATAAGAATATTCGTATTTATTCGATAACGTTCAACTATGTTCAACATGCAGTTAGTAATACTTATGCTTAACTCGCAAAACGTGAAAGATTATCGTAATCCGACGATCAAACAACATTACTGAATTGTAACGTACAGCGCGCATTTTCCCGTACAGAATAACAAAATTTGCCAGACACGATAATAGGCAAGCGTAAATATATATAGTACGCGATATATTCGACATTTCCAACTCTGAACTGAAAGACCGGCGAAAAGCAGCAAGAGAATATTAATTATTACGCAGCGAATATAATCCCTTTTTTTTTACAATGTCTCTATAATGTAGAAATGATGACGGGACTCAACATGGATTATGCCCATTTTAGCCACCTAAATCTACGCTCTAAATCAGCAATATTACGTAATATTTCGTAAAGCAATGTCGCTGTTGCGTAAGCGCGAAATTTGCATGATTTTATGCTAAAGCTGTGTGTATTCGTTGCGTATACGTGAGGTCGATGCGATCTTGTGTCCAAGTTTGCGATCACCAAAGAAAAATTATCGGAGAAATGCACAAAAATTGATGATATAATTTAAAAACAATAAAAAATACCGACAAGTCATAAGGCTCACAAGCGTAGATTGCACAATCATATAGTCTGTAAACGATCTTTAACGATCAATTAACAAAATTTTTTAACATCTCGGACTGGTAATAATAATAATTAATAATTATTTAATTGTATATTATTATCTCAATATTTTGCAGTACCAACTGAAACTAACATATTAATTATAATTTTTCACTCAACAATGTAATTATTATGTAATACCATATGTTATATTACATTTATTGTTGAGTACGAAATTACATTGATATTATATTATATTACTTTTAGTTGGTGTCGACTGGGCATATTTTACCTAGTGGTAAAATGACGCATCACATTTGTAAGAGATGTATTTAATTAAAATAGGAATTAATTAAATTTAACGACAAAGATAGACAATATTCGCAACGTTAAAACATAAAATCGCAATAGAGATAAAAAATTTCACACGGAAACGTAACATGCACGTTTATCATTAGTATTCGGGAAACAGATTGGTCGTCCACGTAAAGTTATATTAGTGAAATATTAGGTTAATTATTAGGATGTTGCTTTACATTGGTGATGATATACGGGGGTGTTGAATGACTTGTTAGTGTGGAATCTAAGTGTGGAATAAAACAAAAATGAGTGTTAGATAATAGGATCGAGTACATACGCTCGTTCAACAGGAAGCTCTGTCTCTTTGAACCTGCAACCCAAGGATCACATACATCATATCGTCAAACCCCAACACCCACTAGCGACGGTAAAACACTTAAATAGACAACAGCAAATAGATGATGCTTCTAAATTACACTTTACATACGTCAGTACGATATTATCTGGAGATATCAAACGTTAGAATTGCGTAAAATGAATCAAAATTTAGATCTGCAGTTTCTCGAATTGAGGAAATGCGGATACACGGAAATGATGATTTCGTTGAAATATCTAGAAATTTAGATACAGATCTGAAAATAATTTTGTTGAACTCTCAAAATAATTATGCAACACGCTCGAACTTGTTACTATTATAGAATGTTAAAATTTTTTACAGCATTACTCATTATATTTGAGATTCCTATGTAATTATTTTGATGGTCCAACAAAATTATTTTCAGATCTATATTCACATCTAAAGTTTTAGTTACTTCGGTAAAATCGTTATTTCTGTGTATACGTAATTCATTTCTATAAATAAATATCATTATTTTATTATTATTACGATTTTTTAAAGAATAATAACATATTCGGAAACATCATCCCGCTGTAGACGATTGGAACATATGTGTATGCAAGTGAAGTAATGATATCTGTGTGTGAGAAAAAGTAAGTAAGAACCAAGTAAGCATCACCGTTATCAAAAAGCTACGATACTTTGTCAAGATACACAAAAGCACGAAGACCAATCACGAACTGATTACGTATGTATAGTTGTGGGACCAAATGACATTGTTACACGCATAAATCACAATTGCAGACAACGAAGATATCACACGTTCATTACACGTACATTACAAAAACGAAAATCTATTTTTTAATTATCAATGATAAAATCGAATTTAAAATAGTATAAGTAATAGTGTACAATTTGCGTATATAATTGATACAGTCGTGTTAATCATCTGAGTCGTTTATCATCCAACTATTTCAAGGGAAGATAACGTATCTTGTCGGGTATTATGCCGGCAGTATTGTCGGCGCCACTAACAAAGGTCTCTTCCGTTCTCTATTTTATCGGCTTCCGTCTGAAGCTATGATATCTACGAAGAAGGCACCTGCATTATCGATACGCGTTCTCTTCGTTGCCGCAAAAACGTTCCCACAACCTCCAACGATATTACAGACTGGTACTGTAGTATGTACTGGTAACCAGAGTAAATAGCGGAGCGACGAACATTACGATTAATTTACGACTGAACGAACACGCGATGAAATTTTCAATCGTAGAATTACAGAAAGTGTTATAATGTGCACGCATGCATATAGATTTCGTAACACATGTGTATATTACAATATTATTTTGAAATTTAAGCGAACAATTTGCGTCATTGCAAATCAATAATTCGCACAGTGCGATTTGAATAAATAAATAAGGCGAAATGGTTCTTCCTGCGCAAAATTGTGTTAATTTGTGTTATGTATATTTTTAATCGTGCGAACGCTGCTTCAACGCTTGTATAATTATGCATTTTCAATAAAACATGTTTGAAGTGAAATGTCGAACTTTAGATCGAACTTTAGATGTCGAACATTTTCTTTGCATGTAAAAGATAAACTATAAAATAAGTCTATAAATACGTTTCTGTAGTTAAGTATTTCTCATGTAAATTTTGCTTTTTGCAACTTATAACGGAGTAAGTTAATCGTGAAACTTCTTGTGAATAAAACTTTTAACTACACACGGAGAGAACACTTTTGCTGGATACAGACTTGAAAATCCAATTTTGTTGGATTATCAAAATTTTTATGTAGAAGGATTATGTCAAACGTAATGAGCAACGCAGCAAAAAGTTTTGACATTCTAACAATCAGCTCAAGCGTTCTACAAAATTATTTTGATAGTCTAATAAAATTTATTTTCAGATCTGTATCTATCTAAACTTTTAGATACTTCAGTAAAATCGTTTTCTCCGTGCATGAAAGAAATTCGTTAAAATATCCAAAAATTTAATTAGATATAGATCTACAAATAACTTTGTTGGACCATCAAAATAATTATGTAAAATACTTAAATTAGTTGTAAAAATGTCAAATTTTTTGCAGCATTTCTCATTAAGCGTCTTACATAATTATTTTGATAAACCAACAAAATTATTTTTGGATTTTCGGATGTTCTAGCTAAATTTCTAGATACTTTAGAAAAATAATTCTTTTCAGTAAATAGGAAAAAAGTAGATTACAAAATTATTTGATTAATGTGTGCATTCACGAGCAGGCAGTGAAGTATGATATGATAAATATTATTAAAATCACGTGTCGCGTTTTATAATAAGTAAATAAATGTTACTTTCATATTCAATCAATATTCTTCATAAAGCTGATAAATCCTCCTTCTCGAATGCGTTTAAAAAGGAGTATTATGGGCTTTTTCGCAAGCAGCGTCGAAACAACCTTCACCAATCTATCTTCGTTATTCATATAAGCCCCGATTTACTGATAATCGATTTATAACGTCATCGCGAGGGGTTGAAAGGAAGAGACCGCGGAGGAAAAAAAATATTGAGGATGCTTACCTCTCGCTGGCGATGGAGCTGTTTCGAGACATCGACTTCGGCGACATTTCGAAGTCGCTGTCACTCCGGTACAGGAAACTCTCCCTCCTCTGGGGCAGCGTCTGGAGAACAAGCCCCGCGCTTGGTGAGGCACCGCCGCCACCGCCGGCGCCGCCATCCAAAGTCGAGGCGCCATTTTCCACGTCGAAACTGTAATGAGAAACGTAAACTCTCATTAGAAACGAGTTACAGATTTCTCACCTCAGAGGACTTGAGCGCACAGAGTCCTCTTTATTCTACGTCGCGTCCACACGAGAAGTAATAACTTTGCTCTAACTTTTAGTCAGTAATCTTGGATTACGATGTCAGCGAGAAATGATTCTCGCAGCAGAATTTCGCATAAATCCACGACGATAGCGCGCATAAATAACAATTTTTCGCTTGCAAAACTACTCTCGGTCCGATAAAACAGGTTTATGAGTTGTATTGTGTATACGGAAATACAAAATATGGCCTGTGCTTTATGATCTCGTTGGACGGAATATAGAATATCGCCATAATAGAATACCGCCTCGGTATCATGAGCAAGATGAATGGAGCGCGCATTAAAATATATTGATGACGAATCCGGATACCTTTATCAATTTCTGTAGTCTGTAAATGTATCGCGTTTGGTTCTATAAGAAGCAATGAACAAAATTGATTAAGCTTTCTTTTCGCAATTGACTCGGTGCCCTCTTGATCTTTCTTTAAAAGTATACTCGAGGACTCGTGTGCCATTTTTCGATCGTGCTTTTTTATTACTCCTTTAATATTCACAATGTTTTTCTTTTATTATATATGATGATTCGTTCGTGTCCCGGGTTAATTTTCATGTCATTTTTACATTTATGAAGATCTCATAAAAAGTATAATCTCATGGAAAGCACGATAACAAGCTACAATCAATAATAATAAATTGGACTTTTATAAATATACAAAAAAAGATATTAAGTATTTGTTATATAAGGTAAGATAGAATAATTTCTGATGTGATATAATTCTAAACGAAATAAGATTTGAATCCATTCTTCGAATTTAATTTTTTTCTGGTATCCTTTAGTACCTTCCTCATAATGAGATTATCAACTTAAACCTTGAAATTGAATTTAGATCTTATTATGGTCAGAATTGTACCTATCATGAAATTGTACCACCTTACTCTATACTTTAATATCTTTAAAAAGTTGTATGTTAAAAAAAAAGAAAAAATAGAGATTAATATTTAACTAGGTACTCCTAGTATTTCAAAGAAAAAATGCGCAAGACACGAATGACTCAATTGTACATAAAGGTTTACTCTTGATACACACAATTAAGTCATCAATATTCGCAAAGTAAAAACGCTTTTTATCAAGCATCGTTCCTATTGGATTTTTGAAGTTTTCGTTAGATACTATATGTTTTATATAGCATGTTTGTATGTCTGATTTTTAAATATAAGTACATTTCTTTTGCAACAGAAACAAATCCTAACCGTGATTAACATAGTTAGGTTTAAACTTCGATTTGAGTTTCAATGAAAACAGCTGTTCGAGGTCTTCGACCATGTAGATACGAATTGGATGAACTAAAATAAACGTGTTGGAAATTGAGAAACCTAAATGGAATGACAAAAATAAATATCTGAAATACGCGTCCGTTTCACAATAACACAGCGTAAAAAGTATGTGCTATTCTTTGACGTCATAAAAACAATTCCACATACATCGTTGTACCGTTGTTCTATTATTCCGAAGATTCAGCATATTTTAGTGTAAAGCCAACTCGAAAATAATGTTAGGTATGTTTCAGATAATTACACTTTTTAATACAATACAATTTTTTAATACAATTAGTCGTACAAGAACGTTATTAACAATTCTTTGAGAGAAACTAAGTATATTAAAAATTAAAGCTATATATGTATATATATATATTTTTTTTAAATACATTATATTCACTAAAATTTATTTACTTAGTGTCACAATTCATTATTATTGATGCTTTCCACGAGACTATACTTTTTACAAAATTTTTATAAATATGAAAATGATATTGATCGATGGATTAGCCTTTCCAATTTCCAAATGTAAATCTGATTGAAAACATCTGGAAAATATTTTCAACAAAGATGAAGCTTTGAGAAACACGAATATTTACTTTGAATTATCTTAGCACATTCAAAAAATTTGGAATTTCTTACCCAAAACTCTGGCCGAAAATCTCGTGGGGAGCATATCTCGGCGAACAATTATAAATATAATTTAATAATGATGATTGGACGCCATACTAATTAAATAGCGTAAACTCGGGTAAGATATAGTCATACGGAAAAGATGACTTCAGAATGACTACAAAAATACTCTATTTAGCCAAATTTTCCTAAATGCATCTAATGCACTTTTAAAATTTAACTTTAATTAATGAATAATAAATAAGCTTAAAGATTAAATACAAAGTAATAAACAGGAGCACGAAAGCCGAGCCGGAATAAATAATGTTAAAAATTAAAACAATTCCGTTACAAAGCTTCATGCGAAAATATATAAATAAAATATAAAAATCTCTGATTAAAATGTCAATTTATTATAATATTCAGCAACGAAACCTCTCTTCATCATGATGATCGTGCCAATCATGTGTCCGAGTTGTGTGTAAATTTAACTGTTACAATTGATTTATGCTACGGTCATATTTCGGGATTTTGAATTTTTAATACTATTTTATATTTACATTATAACATTATCATGATATTAATAAGATGACCTAATTAAGATTAAAACGCTTGTTATTTGTATCATTAATGATCGTCATATAAATATAAGCACTCAGATCCGGCTTTCATACTTCTGTGTGTGTTTACCACTTTATTATATAATTTTAATTTTTAATTTAGAATGTTGACAACGCTCTTGTACCATTATGAGTGTATAATCATTTTTATAGTAACTTTTTTAATTATATTAACTAAAATGGAAATAATTCTTTAGTGATATATCGTGTATTTAAGGAAAAAGATTTGATTAATCGGAGAAAATTCATACGTATGTGGAGCATATACTCCACATATACAGCCGCCATATATGATCAACACGTTGCAGGTGGAAGAAAAATCTGTCAACGAGCGACCTTAATTAGATGAAGCGTAAAATGGGCAACAAAATCTTCCTCATTACGCTAACGACGAGCAAGCGTCTTCTTACGATGCCAAGAAATGTCGAGTTGTATCCTTTTTAGCTCACGTTGCATCATAAATATATCTAGTTAAGACCCGTGGGAATTCTAGCAGATATAATTGAAGCGAAACTTTTGTCACCTGAGTGCTCATTAAATCAAATCATTTATCTATTTCACACGTGCCTTCGCGTGATCTTAACGTTTAATGAAATTTCTATGAATTCCTAAAAACAGTCTGAGCAAATTGATGCCCATAATGACTTTCGATAATTTAAAGCAGAGTTTTTACGTAAATAAAAAAATGTAATTATTAAGTTATCTCCCCTAAAGATGTTAATTACATTTTCATAAGAAAGAAGTCGATCCGTATGAACTCGTAAAACGAACGCGGCTGAAGGTAATATAATACAATACCTTTGTGATACTTTATGTATATACATTCTACTATTGCCCTCGCTGCGTCGCATTGTAGCAATGAAATTGCATGTTTTCAAAGAGTGTCTGTAAAGTCGGAAGCAAGCAGTTACCGTGGTCACGGTAGTTTGCTTGCAATAATGCGGCCGTCACTTAATTAATTTTTCTTTTATTTTCTGTTTGCATCGAGAGAATATTGCGAGCGCGGTTACATTTTTCCGTGCACGATAACAATCATTACATCGTGTTATGTAAACTGTGATTAATTTCGTAACCTTGTCATTCAATATGACTAACAGTCCGGCCATTGTCAATGATAGAGGTCCATGATTGTGCCCCGCGCAATCTGAACGTAAATGCTATTGATAAAGAAATGTATTACGTGAAGATAACTATAACACACTATTTGCATGAAGACATTCGTCAAACGAGATACGCACGGCGGACAAGGTGCGTTTGTTTGTACATGACAGAACCAAGCCTAGACAGCCAATATTTGTTGCATGCTGAAGTATAAATGTCATTAATACGTACTTCCGCGATTCATAAGCCGCATCTATCAGCTCAAAAAAAAAATCTCCAAAATTAGACTTCCATCGAGTTACGTTGGCACGTCGTTACAGGCATCGAAACATGCAATGCTAAATTCTCGATGAATTTCAACGAATTTTATTTAGTGAATGTTTCAATGCGACGCGAGATAAGGGTTCTTCACTCAAACAATTTATTGGTTTAATTCGTACAACAATCGTATGTTGACGACACTGCACAGCTGTTGTCTGCCGCTTTAATCGCAAAATCTGCTGCTGGAAAAATTATTTATTCGACGCCGTTTATTGGCGACACTCGGCACAAAAAGCCATGCTCGTAAGCAAGTATTTGTGCGTGTTCGTGTCTATCGATTCGTAAATTCACGTGCAATTTTGATAGATGTTATATACGTGAATCGCCAGTTCAGCAAGCTACCATTAATCTCCGGACATATAAAGGCAAATGCTATTTATTACATTTCGGTACGGTACGAAATATTCAACTATTTATCCCAATAGCAATCGCAAATCAATGATAGAGACAGAATATACAGCTGTAAATCGGATTTGCTATTTATTTGGATCAATTGCTAGTCGATATGATCAGAATTAATTAAATTGTCTATAATATATGCAGACACATGGAGATAAAAGCTAACGGATGGTATCAAAGGAACAGAACGAATTGAATTGCTCAGGTAATTGACTATAGAACGACTAGTTTACTAACATCTGCAGCAATACTCTGCTTCGTTATATCTCGACGAATGCGTGCATTAATTGATTTCGTGTATCATTTACGTATCGCGGCGCATAATTAAACGGCCGCAAGAGTACTATCGATTGTTTATCGAAACTCCTAATTGATGTAGCACGCTTGATTCAATTGACGTAGCTCCATCAGCGTGCGAATTTCGCCGGAAGTATGCGTTATGTGTGTGAAATGCATCGTTCCTATACGCGCAATTAACACACACACACTTAACACGTATCACCTTCGGATCATCCATGTTGTCCGTGATTGCTGATCAGTTACCTGAGTCCTGCAGATATTATTTATCCGGCCGA